GTGCTCCATCTTCCAGGCTACGGTGAACAAGGCCCAAGTAATTCAATACTCAAGTGTTTGTAGTGTCAGAAAAGGTCACATCTTTGATTCACAATTTATATTTCCTCACTGAACTATAACAGCAATTTTTCCTTACATATTCATTCTCACAAAGCCATAAATATACCCATAATAAAGCCTGAACAAGTTTTCTAAAATACTCCTTAGGCTGTTAGTGTGTTTGATGTCTTTTTTTGAGGGTAGGTTTTCAAATACCCACTGTTTACAGTAACACTTCAAAACAGTAGTTTCGGAAGTAGAAAAACACAGCCAAACTTGAATGCAAAGGGATTTTGGGGAGGTTGTTTTCTTTAATTCAAGTCTTCATCTGATTTCATGGGTCACTGTCACATTTTTGGTGACACTGAAAATACTTCCAAGTGCCCCTTCACACTGCTGTACTTTACTTAAAATCCCAATTTTCAAAAACCCTTATAAAGTAGGTTTCTCTGGGCAAAGCTACATCTGAATGTAACACACAAGTAACCACTAACTACTGATACAGGCTGCTCTCATTTAAAAACATTCCCTTGGAACTGGAATGGTCAGATACAATTTCAGAGACAATGGCAGAGGTCTTTAACCACAGGCTACCAATATTATGCATCTCAATATTTGCATTATTTGACCCCCACAAAACATAAAAATATTTTAGAGCTCAGAGTTAACAAAGCACTAAAATTCATTTTTAAGGCCTGAAAGCAAACATAAAAATCATTATTGCCTTCAAATTTCTTTTGAAAGGAGGCAAAAGTCAGCCTTCAATAAACACATATAGACACTGATTCTTTCAGGGGGCTCACTTTTAGAAGAAAACTTAAGCAAGAGTTGGTAGAACTCACAGATCAGCATTATTTTAAAGTAGAAATCAGATTTGCTTCAAATAGTTTTCAATTATTTTGTTCCCTGTGCCCTAATTGGGATCCCAATCAGATTTAAAAAAGCTACCCTATTTCCTTACAGGACCCACTAGAACACATTAATTCATATACTTCAAGTATTCAGCACAGAAAAAAAAAGTTCTAGTATGTACCTAATTGAATTAATTCTTTGAATGGAATTAACCTTGTCTGTGGGAGCTGAAAAAGAAACCCCCTTAAAGCTTGACTTAAACTGTGTGCTCACTGGCTGTGAGAATGGATGATGCTGCACCAGAGTAGTGCAGAGAGAAAGAACAATTTACGCACCCATGACCCCACCAAAGAACAGAAGGAACCTGAAACCGATCATATGTTTCAGTTCATTAAACTCTCAGGCATTAGCTCAAGATTTAGCACTCCCACTAAAATCAACACAGTAAAAGCAAACATTTTTCCACTCATTTTTCATCTCAACGACCATACATTTAAAAATTTGTGAAACAAAACATGCATAGACTGAAAAAAAATTGTTTACACCACCTCCTTCAAAAAAAAAAAAAAACTCTTCAGATATTTTTTGCACAAGCTCATGTATTTTGGAGTCTTAGCTTTCTGAGATGCATTTAGATATGTTGCTCTTCAGACACAGAACTCAAATCCTTAAAAAGTTAGAAGGAGACAGCAACTCCACTAAGAGACAAAGCAGCTTGATGAAAAATCTGCCTCTCTTAGAATGACTACTGAATAATTAACTTGCAGCTGTCTGCCTCAAGTAGACCTATATAATGCTCCATTTCCAGAACCCATGCAGCTTTTTCTGCCTCACACATCCTCTGAGGCACTGCACTATCAGGTTTTCTTCTCTGGTTTCTCAGAACAATACCCCTTTGGCACATAAGCTCTTTTAAGCATATTGTTATAAGCACATTTTTCTACCTACACTCTTTATTCCTGGAATACACATTGCAGCAAAGACAGCTTTTTCCCAGCCACCCATAAATTATTTTGGAGCAATTGAGTGACAGCTGTAAATATTTAATTTAGTTTCCAAACCTCTTCCAAAGCACTGAAACAGTAGGACGCTTTTACATAGATTTTCGGCGTGGAAGAGTGAAATAAGTGAGAAATAATGAGTCCTTAGTGGCAGGGCACAGGGAAGCGGGCAGAAATGAGTTTCCGCAGGGAAAAGCAGAGGCTTTCTCCTGCAGGGAAAGGCTGCGGGCTCCTTCCCAAGCGCTGCGCAGCCGGCGGGGCGCCGCCAGAGGCCGCTGCAGGACCCGGCAGGGCTCGCCCTCCTTCCCCGGAGGAGGCGAAGCACCAGAGGCGGCTCACAGCCAACGCGCCCCGGACACGCTCTAGTCTCCAGAAAGGAAAGGAAAAAGCAGAAGGTTTCTTTAAAGGTTCTCAATTCCACCGGAGCAGCAACGCTAAAATGTTTTTGTCCCTATTTTTATTGTGGTCCCACTGGAATTTTTAAGCATTTTCAACACGCTGTTATTTTACTTTATGCTACAACCAGTTCATGCTTTGTCACTTAGGCTCTTTTTAGTGTATCAACAACATAAAACAATACAGCAGTAATAAAATCCAAAGTTTATTATAGGACAGAAAGCTAAACTGAGTATAAAATTTACAGAAAAGTTACGCAAATCCAAAAGCGGAAAGCACCGTCTTTTACAGCACACCACCATGTGAATGGAAGAGTTTGGAGTGAGTACTCCAGAGTGCTTTCAGATCTCCGTGTCACCGCCAAACATTCACATTAGTCTATTACCAAGGGTTCAGCCCCAACATGCAGGTCCTAGCGGATCAGCTTTACACAGAGCTTCCCTTGGTGGGAATGGAACATCATTTTCAAAGAAATGAAACAGAAAGCAATGCTGGCCCTGGTTTGCATAGTTTCCAGTTTCCAGTGAGCTGAACTTCCTTCAGTACCACACACTACCTGCTGCTACATTCCAGCTTCAAGTGTTTTGCCAGGTAATACACAAAGTAACCACCATGCATCATCTTTTTACAAGTGATAATGTCATACTTCCAGAGGCACAACTTCATGGACTCATAGAATTGTTAAGATTGGAAAAGACCTCAAAGGTCATTGACTCCAGCTGTTAACCCAGCACTGCCAAGTCCACTGCTAAAACACATTTCCAAGTGCCACATTGACGTGTCTTTTGAATATTTCTAGGGATGGTGATCCCACCACTTCCCTGGGTAGCCTGTTCCAATGCCTGACCATTCTTTCAGCGACTAAATTTTTACTAATGTCCAATCTTATGCATATTAGGAAAAAATTCAATGGCACAACTTGAAGTGATTTCTTTTCCTCCTATCATTTGTTACCTCGGAAAAGAGGCCAACCTCCACCTTGTTACAGCCTCCTTTCAGGTGGTTGTAGAGAACAGGAAGGTCTCCCCTAAACTTCCTTTCCTCCAGGCTAAATGACCCAACTCCTGCAGTCATTCCTCATAAAACTTGTGCTTCAGACCCTTCACCAGCTCCACTGCTCTTTTCTGGACACGCTCCAGCCCCTCAATGTCCTTCTTGTAGTGAGGAGCCCAAAAATGGACACAGGATTTGAGGTGCAGCCCCACCACTGCCAAGTACAGGGGGACAATCACTGTCCTGGTCCTGCTGGCCACACTATTGCTGATACAGGCCAGGATGCCCTTGGCTTCTTGGCCACCTGAGCACATTGCTGGCTCTTCTTCAGGCAATTGTCAATCAGCACACCCAGGCCTTTTCTGCTGGGCCAGCTTCCAGACACTTTTCCCGCAGCCCTGCCAGATGCAACTTGTCCAGATCCCTCGGCAGAGCCTTCTCACGCTCCAACCCCACGGGAGCATCATTCTCCTCCCTGTTCCCTTTATCTGGCTCAGGGCTGCACATCACGAGGGTAACTGGCTTTGTCGTTAAAGAGTGAGGAATAGACGTTTTGTACCACAGCCTTTTCCTCATCCTTTACCACTGTTTCCCCTTGCATTCCACAAAAAGATAAACAATCTCCTTAGCTCTCCTTTTGCTGCTGATGTATCTGCAAATACATTTTGTTGTCTTCACAGCAGTAGTCAGATTAAGTACTAGATGGATTTCAGCCCTTCTATTTTTTCTCTCAGCATAACCTTACACCCCTGAGTTGCCTGACCCTTCTTCCAGAGGCCATTAACTTACTATGCACCTGTGCTTGTGCCCTCCCTCATGGCAGCAACACCTGATGCTGGGACATGGCTCACACACCCACCGGGAACGCGGAGTTACAGGAAGACCTTGGTTGGACAAGGTCTCTGAGATGATGCCATCGAGTCCAGCCCATGACCGAACCCATGTCACCCAGACCATGGCACCGAGTGCTGCATCCAGTCTTTTCTTAAACACTTCCAGGGACAGCGACTCCACCAGTTCCTTTGGCAGTCCAATGTCCATCTGCCCTGGCGCCCTCGCAGGGCGCTGCTTTCCCCGGGAAGCCCCACCCTGGCCCAGCCAACGCAACCCGGCGAGGGTCCGAGCCCCCATCCCGGGCTCGGAGGCCAAGCCGAGTCCCGCATCCCTCCCGCCCCAGCAGCGCCGTGAGCCTGCTCGGGCTGGGCGGCCGCCGTGGAGGCTGCAGAGCGAGCCAAGCTTTGCGGAAGCGAAGAGGCGCAGCCCGTGCCCACCCCCCTTCCCGGTGCCTCAGGACCGGCCGCCCCTTCCCGCCAGGACTCACTCCTCTTCCCCCGCCGCGATCCACGGCCGCTTCCGCTTCCGCCCCTCGCCGCTCCGGCCCCGCCCAACGCGCGTGCAGGGCGAAGCCCCTCCCCTCTCCGCGACCGCGCCCCGGACCGGTCCCCGCCGCGGGCGTGCCCGAAGCCCCGCCCCCTGAGCGTGGCCACGCCCCTGAGCGTCTCTCCCGCCCCTCGGGCCCCGCCCTGTGCGGAGGGGGCGGGCGCGAGGCCCGGAGGAGGCGGGGCCGCGTGCCGGGGCGCCGCTCGCGGTTGGCCGCGGGAACTCTCGCGCGAGCGGGGATCCGGAAGCGGCAGCAGGGCGGGTGGGAGGCCGCCGAGGAGGCGGCGGCGGGGAGTCGCTGTGGCCGCAGGTGGCGGCAGCAGCATCATCATCGTCAACATCATCAGCACCATCGCAGGGGCCTGGCAGCGGCTCGGCCCCCGCCCCGCCAGGAGGGCTGTCTGCGGCGGCGTCTCCGCGCAGGCTTTGCCACGGTAGCGCCCCGGCAGCGGTCGCGCCGCGCCGGGCTGTAAGATGGCGGCGGCGGCCGGCGGGGGCGGCAGTGTGAACCCCTTCCTCAGCGACTCGGAGGAGGACGAGCCCGAGGAGCCCCGGCCCGGCGGCGGCAGCAGCAGCAGCACCGAGCCGGGCGGGCCGGCGTACCCGCAGCAGCAGCCGGAGCCGGCGGCGGGGAGCCCCGAGGAGCTGCCGGGTCTGCGAGCGGCGGCGCCGGGCGATGCCGCCGCGGGGGCAGGGGAGCTGCCGCGGGTGCCGATGGACGCGATAGCGGCGCAGCTGCTGCGGGACCAGTTCCTGCTGACGGCGCTGGAGCTGCACACGGAGCTGCTGGAGAGCGGCCGGGAGCTGCCCCGGCTCCGCGATTTCTTCTCCAACCCCGGCAACTTCGAGCGGCAGAGCGGCACGCCGCCCGCCGGCGGGGCCCTGGGCAGCCTGGGCAGCAGCAGCGGGCTCGGGGGAGCCGGCGGCAGGGAGCCGGGGGCCGGGCAGCTCAGTAAGTGACCCTGGCTCGGGGCCCGGGGGGCTCCGGGAGGCGGGGACAGCCGCCGGTGGGAGCACGGGGCTGGGCGGGGATGGCTCTCGGTGTCGCCGGGCGGCCGGGAAAGGCGTTTGGCATCGCTCCTTCCCTCGTTCCTCGCTCTCTCTAACCTGCGCGGGACTGGCGGAGGCTGTAGGAGCGGGGCAGAGGGGGCTGAGGAGCTGCGCTGGTCTCAGCGGTGTCACCCTGGTCCCACAGGCGTAGTTTCACCGGGCTTCGGTATCCCTGTGAATGTCGCGGGTGTTTGCCAAATGTGGGAGAAATGATTTCCAGCAGCGTCGTTAGTGTTCACTGCCAAGAGACGCATAGTACGGTGCTAGGAGAAAGAATGGGGTTTTAAGCCGTGAGTGCCACATGTAAAGTCTAAAAACTGTCAGAAATGGGGTGTAATGAGCTAGGGTGTTATTTCTGCTGGTGCACCTAAAGATAGGTCTGAGTTTCACAGCTCTTGCACAACTAATACAATGCTTCCTATAATTAACACTATCCTGTTTACCAAGTGTCTGTAATCTTTGGCTAGCCAAGGAAATGGGGAACAGTAAATATACTGAGTTGGTGAAAGTTTAGGGAGCAAAGGGAGTCCAGGTGTTTGGGCAGTTGTCAACAACTGGCCTTAACAGCTTTTGTGTTTTAAAAGTAGCGCACATGGCTTAGAATAAAATCACTTTTGTGTCTTGTCAGTGTTGCTGTCAAGACACATAGGGTCCTACAAAGGAGGTAGCCTGTGGAAGTGGCTTTGGGAAAGAGAAGCTGACCAGCCACCTGACTTTTGAGACGTAATGAACTCGTGGGAAGGTATTGGAAGGAATTATGGGTAGCAGACAGGTGAAAGACATAATTATGTGTTTACCAAGATACCTAAAGGTATTTTGTGAATACTCCTGTATTTTCATTTCTTTTAAGAGTTTCTGATGTCGCAAAGACATGAAGTTACACTTTAAATTTGGAAATAACTAGTAGCATCTGGATGGCTGGGATAATAGAGACAGCTAAATTTCAACTTGTTAGTGCATTTCAAGATCTTTTAAAAATGCATGGCTTCTTTTAAAATTCTTGCTGTGTTTTTGTGTTCTGCTTGTCTTGTTTATGAATAAATCGAATTTCATACTTTTCTTTGTCCAACTGAGAGCTTCAATGTGGTCTTCTTCATGATATGATTAGTGAATATTGGAAAAACTTGTGCTTCAGGGCTTTAAACTGATAAAAATTTCTGTTTCATCCCCAAGCTGCTTCCTTGGGGATTCTAGTAAATTAATCTGATTGATTAAATATTCTCTTTTCTTTGTTAACATAGTATGTTGTTTCCAGTTATTGATACTGCATCTACTTCAGAATTAGAAAAATAGCAGCCTGTGTAGCTCTGTTGTTGTGCATGGAAAAAAAAAGACCTCTTGCAGTCTTAGAGCCATGTGCACTTATGTAAGAACATCTTAATTATTATTTTGCTGACTTGCTAATTGATAGATGTCCCTGATAGATGTCTGTGGGATGTCCCTGTTAAAAAAAAGAAGGGAGGAGGCCGCAGCAGTGAGGAGAGAGAGAAGAGGGGACTAACACTTAGTTTGGACAAGTTTAATAATACTGAAGTGGTGAAATTAAATATCGTGCTAGACCTTATGCTAAAGGTGTGTCTTGAAATCTGATATCTGCAATAGGTTAGAGAGTGCATTTCAAAGGATTTTTTTTTTGTCTCAGCAGTAATTCAAAAGGCACTTCACATTAAGTGACATTAAAAGGTGACAGATGCAGAACAATGAAAAAGTATTTTTATATAGCTCAAGTAGTTTTTTAACTTAGTGCCATCAGACTTTCTTGCAGTCTGGAGTCTAGCATTGAGCTAGCAATTGTGACAGCGCTGTTCAGACTGATTCTGACTGAACAAGAGATGATGGTCTCATGCCTCCAGAGTTATGCCATTTTCCAAATACTGAAAAGTAGATTGCAGAAGGCTCTGATGGGCTGAAAATCATGGTCTTTGGAAGAGTTCTCTCGCTTTTTTTCTAAGCATCTGATATTACTTGATTTAGGTAAGTGACTGAGCTATAGTTCAGATCCAAGTCTGAACGGTTTCCTAAGTTAGTCAAAATGTCCAGTTTTGTTGAGAGATCCAGTCTGTTGTACCTGCCTTTATAAGAGAGTTGTGCATGTACCTTCTCTTGCTTTAACATGCCCAAAGCTGTTTGAGAATGAACTACTAGTTTTCTTAATAGAAACTATTGATGTAAAAAGTAGTGCAGGTTGGCATGATTGCCATTTCAAGGTCATGTGAATTTTACGCTTCAGCGAAATAAAATTCATAACATCATTAAAAAAATTATTTCTATTGATTTCTGAAGTCAGAATTTGATCTCAGTGCTTTGTATCTGCTCCTCCCAACCCCCAAGTTAGATTAATTTCTCTGGCTTTATTCTGAGGTTTTTCATAATTGGAGTGGATGCAGAAAAAGTATGACTGGCAATTCTTATTGAATGTGAAGTATGTTTGGAATGCTGCCTGAGGATTTCTACTGAGCAATAGAAAGCTTTCATATTTTACGTGCTGTACAGAATGGGAGAATTTCAGTACAAGTGTTCGTTGCTTAAAAGGACTCTGAGAAGGGCCAGTCTAAACTCTGAGTGCATGCTGGAATTTATTTTGGTGTGGTTTTATTTCTTCTCTTTGTCTTCAAAGACTGTTACAAAAAGATTTTGCTGAAGTGTCATTGGATTTAAGCAACCAGCATCATGTGGTCAGTGAGTGACTTAGAAGCTGTTTTGTCTTTGAACCGTGCTTCAGAGCTCTTGGTTGCAACAGCAAATGACAGTCAGATGACTGGGATTTCTTAGTTCTTTGCAAAAACACCCTTCCTTTTTCCAGCAGCAGCAACATCACATCTACAAACTGAGATTAAGATATATTGTAATGAAACATGTGGAAATGTTTCTTCCGTCTAGCAACTTTGCTTTTCTAATTTGGAGCAAATTTCACACTGTGAAGGAGGTAACACTATTCATTTAGATGCCCAGCACTGTGTACAGTAATCCTTCATGTCCTGTATCTCAGCTAGATGTTCCCAAACTTCTGAGTGCTTCTTCCATTAGTTTCAATAGCAGTAGTTTCATATGTGCTAGAGCATTGGATACCACTTTTCTAATGCTACTCATGTGAGCAATATGGTTTGGATGTCCCTCATTCTTACTGTATTCCAGATCTTTTAGAAGGCTTTTGTCAGCACCTGCACATTAAATATAAATTTTTGTCCCTATCATTTTTGCATAAGAAGGTACAGTACAAGTTGAGATACTCAAAATTTAGAAATAAAACTGTGGCTCTAATGTCTGATGTGTGTTCCTGGACAAACAAATGTTTATTTGTTTGTTATACGCATGACCATAATTCCATCTTGTGCATATAGGGTGAAGAAAACTTTTTAATGTGATTGATATGATGCCCTTTGCTTGCTATGTTTGATGAATGCCCTTTCCTGAAGGAATGCAGCTTATACTGGTAGGACTAGTGTTAGTCTTAAAATTTGCCATTTATTTTTTCTTTATTGCTACAAAAGTGCAACATTCCCAAAACTTGAAATAGCTTTAATGAAAATCATAAGGGGTTTGAGCACTTATGTTACATTTGTGGTTTTCAGGAGATAATTTTTTTCTAGTTACTGTCATAATAAAATTGTTTATAGCTTTCTGGGGATTTGATTCCAGTTATATTAAACTAATCCATGAGTACAAAGATATAAAGTATTGCTGCTTCATAGTAAGCTCCAGGCTTTGTTTATGATTTGGGCTGTTTGATTTTCCTTTGGGGTTTTTTTGGGGGGTGGTGTGGAATACTGTAATGCATTGCTCCTTTTGCTTGTAACCTTTGAAATTCAGATGGATCCTACTGGAAAAAGTGAAGTGGGAGGAGTATACAGATTCTACCTTTGTGAGAGGGGGGTGTCTTGGTAAGAGCTCTTCTCAATCCTAAATCACAAACCTTGTAATTTTGTGTGGAGCTTTGCCATATTTCAGCTGAATTTTGTTCTGAATGAGAATAGAGCGGAACAGGGCTACTTCCAAGCAGTTCATTATATCTCAGTTTAAATAGCAGTCTAAATAAAATAGGAAATTGAGAAGACAGCAAATAATTTTTGTTCTAGTGACTACTTCTTAGGTGTTTGGTATTGTCAGCTCAACTCTTTGGCTTGTTACTTTATGAAAGCAAACACAAATACCTAGTCCTGTTGGCTGGATCTGCAGATAATGGGATGTAGACTGGCATCTTGTGAGTAAGAGTGGTTTCACTACCTGATTGGGAATACATGCTCCCCTGAGAAAGGATGGGATGGAAAGGTGCAGATAAATAGGTAATCAAAGCTGCTGGTAATCAACAGATGGGAAAGGCTGATGGTTGTCACTTTTAATGAAGCGCAGAAAACATCCGAAAGAGTTGAGGTTTGTACGTAATGCTGAAAGAAAAGAAAGCAGAGTTCAAACATGCTTTGAAGGTTTCAAACCTGTCAGAAAAGAGCAATGCCTGGAGGAAACCTGAGAGGCTTGATAGTGCTCTGATGTTGGCTTTACTGATGGAGAAGCCAGGTGAACTTTTCCTGTTGTGACTGCTTTAAACCCACTCCATTTTACTGACACTGGTGTTTCTGGCAGGTTTTCGGTGATATGCACTTCACAGCTTACAAGCTGCTTATGTTAAGGCTTTTGCAGCTGTTGGACTTGTCAAATGACTAAAACTGGGTGTTGAGTTTTTGGACTGGAAACTGTCCCTGATGGATGAGTCTAAGCTTTGGCTGATGTCTGTGTTGGGCTGATTTGGGATGTAATGGTAGATTGTTCAGGAGACAGGTTAGTCCCCATAAGTGTGTAACTACACAAAGAAGTAACACGATAAGGTAGCATGATAAGCATGACAATTATGGACAAAGGAGCACAGAGTAGAAGCCTCTATTATTAGGCAGGTAAATAGCAAGT